TTTTTTTGGCATTATCAAACCTTTTGTAAAAAAGTGTTCTCAGGAGAAGTGATTGGGCTGCCTKTGAAGAGTTTTATATATTTGAAGAAGAGTGTTATTGTTGAAAAAGATTATTTTTAGTTGTAAAAAGATAGAATACTTTGAGACTGTTAAATGTTGTTGAGAGATTACCGATTTATTTCTTATTTTCCTTACTTTTGAATAATATATGGTTATTTATTAAGCATATTTACTACTATTCAACCATTTTCATGTGATTAGATATTGAACAAAAGTAATATGCCAATATATTATCAGTATAGCCACAGTTGTACAGTGTATAGTGTGCTGCTTTTTTGAGTTAAAATAATCAAAATGTTATATTATCAAAACTAACTACCACTGTTTTATTACAACTATATCTTGATGTTAAAAYCTCAGGGAAAACCTGCCGTCACATTGTGGATGTTAGGATTAAGTTTGGAAAAAAATACATCTTTATATGTACATGTATGATATAATGCATAAATCCAAGCAATAGCCATATTTATTACTTATTGCAACTTTTTTGAAAAAAAATTGACAATAGACTACAATGTGCTTTTTCTTTTTACTATTTTTGGAAATAAGTAGTAATTACTAGAGAAGAAGAGTCACTTGAACCATTAAACAACAATTAAAAGTTCTGACTAAAAGGCACTTTTAGCTCAATTTTATAGTCATTATCAAACCAGAGCAGTCTATTTACGCCAAGTAAGCAATAGTGCTTCAAACCATAACAATCAAGAAAGTAATCTCTTTTCTTTGTTCTTCGCATGACTCTGGATTAGTGATAGTATCAACTGTACATAGTGCCCATTTATGTGTATTTAGGTTCTATTTCATGGTTCAAGCAATTCTGCTTTATGTTGTACAATTTACAGTCAAACTACTTGAAGCGTGAACATATGTAGACATCATTGTTGATTTCAACAATTGATTGTCTAATTGATTAATCAACGTGAAGAATGCAATTTCTCAGCTTTCAAAATATACATTTTATTAGAACTACATAGTTTAGCTTTATAAAGTAACAAAATTTTGGATCTTTTAAGCCACCACACGTTGAGAAATGACATTTTTCAAATAGATTAATCAGTTTTCAATTAAATACCGTATTTTGCCGCATATAAGCCGATACTTTATAACAAAAAAAAAACTAAAATCCCCAGGTCGACTTATATACGGGTCAAACATTTTTGATTAAACCGACAATGAAGCTTTTATTGACTAAAGTTAGTCTTATGTTGAAATTTTGCCAGAAATTTCAATTGTTTATATATTTATAAACTTTATCCTTATAGCAGGTTATAATTCTTGACTTTGAAAGGATTTCTTGGCAGTTTGAACCAGGAACACCATTCTTTGCACGAGTACAATTAATCAATTCTTGAAATCAACAATGATGTCCATGTGTTCACACTCCAAGTAGTTTGACTGTAAGTACTTTCACTATACAGCTTAATAAACATTTATAGTTTATGATGAAGAACAGTTAAACTAAAAAAAAACATGGACTTCGGTTCACTATTAAGTGAGTTATGCAATAGATACAATACAACAGATTTACATGTTATTTTGTTGCTTTCAATACACAGTTGAAATATATTTATGTCAATTAATTACAGTCATTATGAAAGAAAAGTGGTTTATAAATGCATTGTTTCAATGCATTGTCATATTGCACCAAAAAATGTTAAGACTCTATAAACATATGTCTATTGACAAGTTAACAAACTTTAAAAGCACATYATTCACTCAATAAAAGCTTTGATAGTGTTTGTATTAAATACCTACTGTACCATTACCTGGACAGCTGTGAGGACATCTTTATAAAATTGGATA